GACGGCCGGAAATGCCCACTCTAGTCATACTCAGACCCAAGTGGTGACCTACCCGAGTCTCGAACTCGCGATCGTTTTTATCGGAGACAAACGCCCTAACCATTCAGCCACGAGCTCATTGTCTTGCCGGTTTAGGTCGGCAACGAGTGTTACGAAGTTTCCAACCATTATAAGAACAGAGATATTTTAGATGCAATCGAAGAGCACAACAAATCCGAAAAAATATCAATCCCATTCAAGGCTGTGCCCAAATTATCAACGGCAGTCTACGATGCCTATACTGCGTTCAAAAGTTGCTTAAAGAACAGATATTTTCTTACTCAAGCGCAAATAATACAGTATCCACAAACGTAGCATTTCCCAAAATAATAATTTTTTTTAATTCGTAGGCTCTACTTACCCGTTCGCATTCAAAGGCTTTCTCGAAAATAGCTTCCGTGGTATGGCCGGAAACTATGGAGACGACAAGTCCGATCATCTTCCGGATCTGATGAAGCATAAACGACTGACCAACCACCGTAACTACGGCAAACTCACGGTCGCCATCAAGAAGAAATGGAGCACCACACTCTATAGACATAATATAACGGCGGCAACTGAGATCATTTGCAGTTCTAAAACAACAACAAAAAAGTGAAACGTTATCGAAATGCCAGGTCATCTGATCGGTTGGTAATAATGGCGTCAGGCGGGAGCAATATGCAAAACACCTACCTGCGAGAGGTAAAATTGAAAAAGTTGTGGGTGCCCTTGAAGTGACGAAACATATTATTCACTTGTGTCAAAGTGTCGGCAGAAAGGCGATATTGCCAACAGCGTTCTCTGGTGAGGGATTCACGGGCAGCAAAGGCAAAAGTTGGAAGAATATATTGGTACGTGCGATGATTGCAGGCGGTTTTCGCGTTGAAGTGTTGTGTCACTCGGAATACGTCTAAAAAAACAGAATTGAAGGGAAAGGAAACCAGTTAAATAACGCGTGCTTACATGTAAAGGATAGTATACGTGCATTAAGTGGAAGCATGTATTAAAAATAGGGTCACGTGATAACGACAGCATAAGATCAATAACCGACAGAAAGTGTCAGGAATCACATTTACACTGCAGCTGCATACCTTATCGGTCTGGCACACATCAGAGCACACCTACAGCGGATGAATAAACTGAAAAATATTGTCTGTATAGTCAGTTTAGACGCGACAATCATGTTTCGTAGTCAAAACTAGGTACCCCAGAAATTGCCTATGCGTCCGACAAAAAGCCTATTCCCTACGCGGAACAGATCTCGAATTTTATCGAGGAAATTGTATACTTCGGAAGGGAAATTAACTCTCCTGGCTACTTATACAATTTCGTACGCAAAAATCTGCATATGAGCCTGCTTCTTAACGGGACCTCAGTAGTCTTATTAAAAGTGTACTCTTAATGCAATAAAAACCGAGTAATTTAAGACGTCAAGAATGGAAGCTCACTATTCCTCAGTAATTTCGACTTGTAAATCTGTACACTCTTCGGTCCAGGAACACAATAATAAAGCCGACTGGCAAGGTGTTGTCTTATGAAACTAGAACTTGGCAGGCGAATAAAAATATAGCAGAAAAAACTTAGAAAACTCCTAAAATCAAACATACCATTTAACTCTTGAGGACACGGTTAGATTCTATCGTGCAATTTATTTTCAGTTAATTTTTTTATTAATAAAGGACTTTGACAGTCCTTTGGAATTTATTTATACAGTTACTTCAACGTATGTAAATCCATCGGATAGGATATAGAATTCAGTAGATATAAGGAAGACAGTCTCAAAGAAAAGAGAGATAGGAGCTTTCACTTTGAATGCAATGAATAGCCAATATCGTCCAGACAAATGGGTGAAGGCAAGCGCTTTAATGTCCAGTCTGAAACCAAATGAAGACAAGATCATTCACCGGAGAAAGATAAAACTTATAAGGGAAGGGCTCGCCATTTATCATGAGTATAGACACCATAGGCCTTTTTCGTGTGCGTCAGTTTCTTCAGCGAGTATGTTTCCTGTATATGTGGGTCCACATATAGGACCCAATCCGTCCGAGAACTCAATACATGAATAAAAGCCGTTGAGACGTCAAACGGTGCATTTACAGGAAATTACCTCTAAAAAACCTCGAAATGCCAACTGCATCTTGAGATTCGACTAAATTTCCCAGAAAATATTTCCTTTGCAACTACAAATGGCCGCGATACGGTTATTTTGATTGGAGCCGCCTTTCCTATTCTTCACCTCTATATCCTTTTTCCACAAAACACCTGGATTTTTAGGGATCTAGCCAGTGGAACCTGTCCCTAAGCCTAGTATATCATACTTTGTCCCCACCAAATGAAATTTGGCTCGGTTACACTAGGGAATAAGGCCACATCAATCGAAGTACATAACGTCGCTTAACAGCACCCTCCGATAAACTAATGAATGTTGACAAGTAAATTACCGAAACAGACAATTCACCTACTTCATTATTTTTATTATCTGGGAGTATCGTACCACTAACCATTGCGAATTCAAGGTTGACGACTCGGTCGCCGCTCACAGGAAATGTCGCTTTCGGTGCGAATTTTTAAAAATGCCCTTCAAAATACAACACTACGAGCCACGCGAAACACATCCCTTACTAGTTCAATCACCTGTCTGTTAGAAACTCGCATTCTAATTGAAACCGAGGTTTGGGAGAAGGTTGAAGTGACAAATTTATTCTCGCACATTGGAAGAAAACTGCAACAAGTCACTGTAGTAATCAAGTAGTGCCTTACGGTGACAGTTCGGATCCTTCCACATGATGACGCAGTGTCACGCAGGACTGTTTTCTGTTTGTGTCCGATGCTGAAAAATAAACGTGCTGGCGCACTACCGCACCCATCACGATAATACATACTATGCTGTCTTGTAATAGTCCTTGGTCATAGTGAGAGCGATATTCGGTCGGCGTATTATACCTAGCAAGATCAGACAGATCCTTGACTTGGGAGACTGCTTTAAATTGTTGCTTTAATTTCAGAAAATGCAAGCCACACTTCAACACCCCAAAAGCACTTCGTCTGCGAATCCAGGAAAATAACACTGCGAAAATGAGCCTGCACGATTTACCTCCTAGTTGTCATCTTCCGTAAATACGGTGCCAGCAGAAAAATGGGTGACATATA